CATGGTAAATTGCTGCCTTAGCTGAAAATTAGTTGGCTGTGCAAATGAAGTCTAGAGCATCTCCAGATTATTGCAGAAGTGGCCTGACCTGGTGGAACCCTCCTTCTTGTGGCAAGAAATAAGTAATTCAGATGAGCCAGTCTGCATTTAGATGCCCAGAAGGATCATACAGGATCACCTTATTTTGCTTAAATGTTATTGTATAATCTCGATTTTTCTGAATACATATTCATACAAAAGTTGAGACATGGTGATTATTATATTGGTGGTTGTACTACAGGGTATGTAAAAGTAGATTCCGTTTTAGTCTATATACTTTGGCCTGACAAACAAAATGAAAGGATGGACCTTTGAACTGATACCATTTTTAGACCTTAGGGAAGTACAGAATGTAACTGCCGGTCAACAGGAATTACTTAATTTTATTTTTAAGGCAGTGGCGCTGGCAGTGCTGCCTTTAGCAATATGTTTCCTAAGCTGGAAAGTCGTTTATCAGCTACAAAGTAAATCTTTTTCCTGATCAGTAGGAAAAATTGCCACTTCATCAGTTAAAACTTAATCATACAGTGAACAAGAGAGCCTATGATTTCATCAGAATATTTATATTATGTGAAACGTTTTTTTCTGCTGGAATCCAATCTAGTCTTTTCTTAAAAAAATCCATAAACTTTAAAGAATGAGAGTGGCAAACCTCAAAATTTAGAACAGTTCCTTCCTTCTCCCCAGGTTTCTGACTGACCTACTAAGAAGGCAAAATGGAGATTAATTTTAAGTAATTGTAGGATACGGGAGTTTGACTTACAGGCCCAGCCTTGACAGAGAGAGCTGTCTTTATAGACATCTTTTTATAGTTGCTTGTTAATGTTAATAAGCAATAATTAAATTAAACTACCTGCTTGCAGTGGAGCTTCCTGGTCGTTGACAGGGAGGTTCTAGGAAAGCTTTCTTGGCTGTCAAGCCTATTTATCAAAGGCACTCTATTAAAAGCTTCAAAAACTTCCATGTGCTTCTTGTTTACCTGCATGATTCCATTAGGCTTTTCTGGAGCTTCCCAGAGGACATCCTCAGAGATTGGATTTGGATCCTGTATTAATAAAGAAGTTCTGAAAGAGTGGTAGGGACGAGGACCCCTGTCTGTGGTGCACACAGGTAACCAGGAATGTACACCTGGGATGAGAGCTGTCCACAGCCCTCTCTTGACACTGGCAGCCCTTCTTGTTCCCTCTGCTCTTTTTAATTTCACTCTGGGATAGGAACCATGGGTAATTATTTTGCATAGGTAAATATCTGTTGGAAAGGAAAGCATGATGACTTCAAATTGTAGCAGCCATGGCTCAGAATGAAATCTTAGAGGAGGGAGGTCATGGAATGGCCTGTATATACTTTCTCCAGCAGCAATAATAATACCTGGTATGTGTCAGGTGCTTCTGCTCCTTTCCTGTTTGTGTAAGCCAGTGTGAGACAGACATGCATGCTAAATTCTAACGTATGAAACACGTACTGTAATGCACGTATTCACAGGTGTTACTGTGCACCTGTTGTGGGCCTGGGTTGCAGGTACCTGCAGGCAGCGGGGCGGCTGCTGTCGGAGTGGAGCGTGACGTGCTGGTAGCTGTAGTTTCTCTGGGCTGTACCAAGGCACGAAGGGGAGGGCTCTTGCAGTTCGTTGCATCATGCAAATAGGGTGCCGTCAGCTTACGCTGATGTGTCCTTCTCCTTGGAGAACATAGATACCAGTAGAACATATAAGGCACAATGCTTAGATGTCAAACTGTAGGATAAGCCTAATATTCTTCTCTGCCTCATAATCTTGTAAGAAAGAATGAGGCTTCAGCCAAAAAAGCCACATGTGGCATTTCTCCTTTGAATGTTTGTCTCTGACATTTCTTTTTAGAGGAAAGCGGCTTATAAATACAGGCAATAGTATGAAAATGGATGTTGCAGGAAGAGGAAGACAAGGCAAAAAGCCGTGTGGCCAACATGCTCATTTTTACCTGTGAACAGTCTGCGTGTAAGGCTAAAGCAGAGTGGTATCGGTTTACTTAAGGGACTACTTGGTGGAAGGGGAATCAGTCATCTGTGGGTTTCTAACCTAGACCAAAGGTTATTTCCTGCTAGTTGTTACTCAGTGTAAAATTAGACAGCGTCTTCCTTGAGCTAAGCATATGCCTGGGTACTGGCACTTAACAAGAAGCCGTGCTGGCATTGCAACCTACAGGACCTAAGAAGCTGATTGAGTTTGGTGGAACTAAGTTTAAAGAATTTCCTTCCTGTTCAGATCAGTTGGTAGCAGCTAACCTGAGGTTTCAGAGGCATTTTTGTATATGACATGTTTGTTTAGTTCCAGGCCGGTCTTGACTCTTACCAAGAATGATTCTAAAGGTGAACACTGTCCTCTAAGCCTTAGCAAATTTAAAGTAGTCACCAGAGGCTCCCCTGCAAAACTGAGGAGATGCTGGTTGTCAGATGACAGCCCTTAGACATGTCAAGAGCTGAGTTCCAAGGTCCCAGCTTCCCCCTGAAATTACAGATCCTTGACAGGAAAACTTGCCTGATGCTTTCTGCTCTACTTTAGGCTCTGGTGAGTCACCTGTTCCTGGCACTTGAAGCTTGAGAGGTAGGACTATCAGTCCCCAAGTGTTTCATGAATGTCATAGTTTAAGATCTGGCAGGAAGAATCCAAATTCTGCTGGAGCAGGGCAGAACTGTGAAGCTCTCGTTCTTTGAAACCTGAATCTAAGACATGGCTCCGGTGGCTTTTTCTGTCATTTCTGGAGATATTTGGGTATATAGTCATTAGAACCAACTCCTGTACTGCACAGAGAACCACGTTGATGATCTGCTTTCCTTTCTTAACAGACCAGTGAGCCTGATAACCTTCCGTTAGCTCCCACATGTCTTGCAGTAGTCAATACCAGAATTCTTTTCCACCCCCATAATGCATATGTAGGTGCTTTATTTGACAGCTCTCCTACAACATAAGCATATATATACTTCCTTGCACCTTTCTCCAGGAGTTGCATAGGAATGCCCTCTCACTTCTTTTCACATTGAAAGCTAATTTGATTTCTCTTGGTATTTAAATGTCAGCGTTCTCTTCGCTGAGAAAAGATTTATTTTTTAATGCAGTATTTTATTGCTCATATCAGCAAGGTTTTGTTGTAGATCTTGGGTGCCCTCAACCCTTACAGTGCTTTGCTTGGTTAAGTCAAAAGATTAACAAGACCTTCTCACCTGTTTTTTTTTTTTTGTGTAATGGGAAGTGTCTATACTAAGAGCTTTTTTTTTTTAAAGTTTGAGTGCTGCATCAATTAAACATGTAGCGCTTTAAGTGCTGACTTCCTTTTGCATCCCTTCCCTCAGTAGAAAAGATCTGTTATCTCTGTCTAGTGGGGGTAAAGGCATGGAAAGGCAATATAATACTTTTGAGGAGGAGGTTAAAATAACCAAAGGATAGTTTGATAGATAATGCATCTAATGTTGCATCGCTTATATTGTTAGTTCTCAGATTAAATTATAATTTGTAATGAGAACGGTACAGCATCAGGAGATGCAGTCTGAATGTAGCCTCAAAACTTTCAACCATATTAGATGTCCAGATTTCTTTTTATCGAGTTGTTCAGAAACCAGCACTCTTCTCTATGAATTGCAGTACTCTTACCTAGTAGCCCCTCTTGGATGATGCTCCTAAAGCATTACTGCTATGAAGTGAGACATTTTAAAAAGGAGTTCTGGATGCATGTAGTCATTGAAGATTATGTGATATTTTCTGTTTGTCCTGCTAAGCTTTGATTTATATGAATGGCATACCCAGCCCCTCTCAATATGACAGTCTCGCTGCAAGTTCAGTCTTTGCTTAAAGATTCAACACTGAGTAGAGTGACCTCGTGCACGGCAGCTGCTCGTGCTCACTGACCTTAGACCACCAACGTTTCTGTGACGAGCAGCGCGCTCCGCAAATACGTGATGTTTGACAGGCTGCTTCAGACTGACGAGCTGTCTCGAAACGTAAAGAGCAACAAGAATTAAGAGTGAGTTAATACTCTGAAGGCTTATGAGCAAAAAGTACAATTAGTGCTGCTAATTAAGGCCTTCTTCCCCATGGTCTCTAAATTATTATTAACTTGCACGTGAAGTAACTGAGAGACAGAAAAATTGTGATTAATTGATTTATCCTCGGCCATGTGACATGATGGGGGCAGAAACCTGATGAGTGCCTTGGCCTGGCTTGCTTCAGGCGCTGTGCAAGTTCATTGTATTGCTAGAAACAATCGTATTTCGAAAAACAAGGCACCGTGACTGCATATTTGTTGTCAGAGCTTTCAAGAGAAGTGAACAGAGAATTTTGGTCTGTCCCTGGCAAAACTGTGTCTTTTCAGTTGCTTCTAAGTAAATTTGTACCTGTACAGGTTTACTGCAAGTGTTATTTGTTGGAAGTAAAGAAGCAGTATTGCCTGTTCCAGCAATCGTTTGTTACATAGATTTCAATATCTGATGAAATACCACTGGAATACTGTTTTTAAAATTTCAGACTCAAGAAAACCATTTGGCTTGGTTTGACCAGTGCTGATAACTGAAGATACACTATTTCTGAAGCAGAGACTGCCATATCTGATGGATAGCTTGGTATAGAATCCAGTCAGTGTGGTGTTGGGCTGTTTTGGGTTTTTTTGTTTGGTTTTGGTGGTGTTTTTTTTTTTTAATTAAGCTAGCAAAATTGGACATCTTGTACCCAGTTTTAATTGTGAGCCCCTTTGTTTTTTCTTTTCTAGTACCTTTTGCACTGACCAGATAAACTATTCATGCACATTTATGCCTGACACCCACCCCGCAAAGTTCTTAGCATGTTAGGATTTTGACAGGCAGAGGCCTTTGGTGCTCATCATTTCTTTTGAGGTAGCCTCTAATGGCAAAATATTTTGAAATCTTGAATTCCAAACAGAAAGCTGAAGGAAGACTTCATTCTCACACCTGTGCTATGTTTCAGATTGCCATATGCAATGGACACTGATCTCAGTTCCCAGGACAGGAAGGACCTGGACAAGTTCATCAAATTTTTTGCTTTAAAGGTAACATTTTCTTCTGTGGGCAAATGCCTCTTTTTTCTTTTTTAAGAAGAGCCATACTTGCTATGGCTAGAGTAACAAGGTTGGGGTTTGGGGTTTTTTTGGTTTTGCTAAAGACCACAGCAAGAAAAGCTGATGTCAAATTTAGGAGATTCCTGAGAATAACTAGAAAAACATCTTTCTCCCTTTTTTCTACCTTCAAATCCTCTTCCTTTCTCCAGAAATGTCCTGCTGTAGAATCAGTTATAGACACTTCACACCCCTGTCAGCTTTGATCTCCTATCAACACATCTAACCATCCAACTGTTAGGTAGTATCTTCCGTTGGACTCCACTCTTTCTTTTCATCTAAACTTTTGTATGGTGTCCAAAAGCAATAATACCAGAATGTTCTTTTGAATTATGTTGATACATAATTAGAAAATTTGGCCTCACTTGGAACATAGATGCAAGTAGGTGCTCTAACAATGGCTATGTTGTAAATGTACAGATTCACTTGATTTTCGTTTATGTCTCCAGGTTCAGGAAATAGTTGTAAATTTTGTTTCAGTATTACTGAAAACTGTGCAACTCCTGATCACAAGATTGACTTAGTCACGTCATGTTATTACAGAGAAAGGTCAGCTTAAAATGATTTTCTGTCTGAAATACATTTACCTGTATGTAATAACTTAAATTGATTAGACCTGAAGATTAGTGTAGCAAATTCTACTTCTCTACATCTAGTCAGACCTTTCATTTTTTTCACTTGCAATTTGTCTAGCTCAGGTTCTGAACTGAGGGCTCTGTTGAGCTCAAAACACGAGTGTATATCTTTTACTTTCTATTCCAGACGGTACAAGTAATTGTCCAGGCCCGACTTGGAGAGAAAATCTGTACCCGATCATCGTCCTCCCCAACAGGCTCTGACTGGGTAAAGTCATGTTTTTTAAAGCAGCTCCATAACTGTTGGGGTTTTGTGTGTGTGTGTGTGTGCACGCGTGTGTTGAGAACATAATGTAGTTGTTATAGTCTTATGCAGACTATGATAAGTATTCATAGAATAACTACTGTATTCAGTTATGTTCATTGGTGGTGTGGGTTGGTTGTGTTTTTTTCACAGGCAACATGTTGCTCTGGGCTCTTAAGGGCTGATTAGAGGAGAAATAACTGATAGCTCTGGCAAGTCCTGCCAGCTAAGGCGCATTTCCAGTATCTGCTGGGGATGGGGTGATGAGTTCTTTTCTGTCACAAATTTGCAACTTTGCAATTCAGAACTGTGTAGTAATGGACTTTATTAAAAATTGAAGAGACTCAAGGTACTCTGTGGGTGAACACAGGACTCAAGTGAAGGAAAAGGAACATGATTTTTGTGGCAGGATCAAGAAAAACATTTGAATTAGCAGCCAAGGAAATGTTTGCAAATATGAATAGCCTGACCCCATCTGGGAGTTTTCTGTTTCATAAATATTTCAGTAAACACTGACCTAGTATGTTATATATGGGTCTATGAGTCTGTCTGCAGTGTACCGTTAGGCAGTTTTTCAAAGAAATTTAAAAATTGAATAATCTCTTTCATTCTGCAGTTCAATTTGGCAATCAAAGATATACCAGAGGTTACTCATGAAGCAAAGAAAGCCCTGGCAGGACAGCTACCTGCTGTTGGACGGTCTATGTGTGTGGAGATTTCCCTCAAAACGTCAGAGGTGAGAACTGAGTCCAAATAGATGCCATTTTTTAAACTTGAATCTTAAGTCGCCTACCACAGCTCCTGCCTTTTAGTCCAAGACTTCTTTATGAAGTAGTGTGCTAATGAAAATAAATGTGGTGTTTAACAGAAGCAATTCACTGCAAAAATCTGAGGCCAAATACATAAATGATAGAGCAGCAAAATTTAGTTTCTTAGACCATGCAGAGATAGAGACCATGAAGAGGTAGACCATTCTGAGGAAGGTATTCCCTCGGATGATCAAATTGTGCAGTGAGGCTTCAAGTGCACCTTCTCCTATTGTTGCATTACAAGAAAGTGGAAACCAGGAGAAACATCTTAATTGAGAATTGTGGCTCTTGCTGATGATTAATGAGATGTGAAAAGGTTTGTGTTCTGAAATGAGCCTTTGTTTGCCATCGTTTCTCTGATCTAGGGGGATTCCATGGAGCTGGAAATTTGGTGTCTAGAAATGAATGAAAAGTAAGTGCATTCTTCACACTTTGTGTGTCTGTGTGTGTTTTAGCTGATGAAATGGGGAAATGTGCTCAACCCATGGTGGTGAATGAGCACATACTGGCTGTGTGGCCTGCAGCGCTTCAGAGGGAAGTCGTTCTTTGTCTAGTGCAGCAGCCAAAAACTGTTCAATATTGGTGTCAAGAAAATAAACTAGTAATTTTACTTCTTCTTACAACTATTATGCTTCCTCTCATACAAGCATTGGTATACTCAGTAATGACAAATGTTTTTAACATTGAAAAGATGTTTCTGTCTAGTAGAAGGCTGCATGGCATTTTTCAGCAATTACTTCTACAACATGTGACTAGATTGAAGTAGGACTCTTAGCTGGTTGGGCAAAAACAGGTAGCCACACCGGGGCTTTATTTTATCTTTTTGGCAATAAATCTGACATTAAACAATAGGCCCAGACTAATTTTGATTTTAAAAAATTAAAAAAAAAAAAAAAAGCAAAACCAAACCAAACAACTTAGTTGGGAACAAAAGATTAATTTTTTTCCTTTGTGTTCTGTAGGTGTGACAAAGAAATCAAGGTTTCGTACACTGTATACAACAGACTGTCTCTACTGCTGAAGTCTTTGCTTGCTATAACGAGAGTAACTCCAGCCTACAGACTCTCAAGGAAACAAGGCCATGAATATGTAATATTATACAGGTAAGGCAGAACACGAAATTCCCCATTTGAAATACAAACAGCGGAGACTCTAGATTCGCACAGTGCAGCTGCAAATGTGGTAAAAAGGGATGAGTGATAATAAATTCAAGTTACTTGAATTTAACTACTACTGATCAGTGACAGAAGAGGACTTCGGGCTATATATCACTTTATGGCCTCTATCTGAGCCACTGAAAGAAAAACTAAGCACAGGCTGTGAAGTACTGTTATTTGCCACCATGTTGAGAAGAGTGCAAAAATTCTACATGCAAGCACTGGTTAAATTGCTTATTAGCATCCAGTTGTTCAGTGTCTAGCCTGTGTTGATAAATGCCTGTTTACGTTGCACATAACTGCAATGCATGCTTTCACAGTACAGATTCAGACTCTTTCCTGCTGTTACATTTTAAAAAGGCACCCTCAGCTTCACTTCCTGTAGTTCTTGCAGTTTACTCATCTAGATACTGAGTTCAACTCTTGTTTAGCCTGTGAGATCTGACTGGCTTGCGGTTCAGGGTTATCACCTTCCAGTCTTTGTTTTTGGCTTTGAGAAAAGTCTTTGACATATTTGCATAACTGATTTAGATGATTCTAAATCTCAGGTTTGTTATCATTTGCACAGCTGAGAACTTAAACAGAAATCCCAGCCATTTCTGCGTTTTTTGCCTCCATTGCTGGTTTGGCATATACTTAAAAGCAGGTCTCTTTACAGCACTGTTAATCTTTTATGTTGTGTGATGAGTATCAGCTTTTAGACTCAGACCCGTCCGTAAAGTTTATATCACTTCACATTTTTGCTCTGAACTGTAGACTTGCCTACAGTTGTAGGCTTTTTGCTTAAAAAACTTAAAAGAAAAATTTCTGATTAGACTATCATTTTCTCTTCCTTTTTCTTTTTATGTGACATGTCTTCCTCTGAAGTAGCTGGAAGGTTTTTTGAGATGGGTTTTCTAGCCACTTCTTTTGTGTTTTTTTTTTTTTTTCTAAAGAGGAAAAGTAGCCTCAGCCTTTCAACTCATAAAATTAATTAGAGAATAAGGATATGCATAGCATTATGCCCCCAATGGACCTAATACCTTTTCTTTTTTCTTTTCCTGCAGGATATATTTTGGTGAAGTGCAACTGAGCGGCTTGGGAGAAGGTACGATTGGGCAACACACACAAACTACAGCAGAACTGTTTTCCATGCTGGCTAGCCATTTATTACTATTCCTAAGTGTCATAAGGAAAATGAAGTCTGAGGTTTACATATGCTTTTTATCTAGATCTGCCATTGAAAGGTCATGTCATAAGGTGACAGGTATAATAGTGGTACTTTGACAAAATATAGGGTGATTGACATTTTGACTCTAGTGATTCGGAACTGAAATAAGAATATGGAGGTATGTTGATAAGGGGCAGGACTGGTAAAGGACATCATGATCTACTCAGGAACAAGAAGCACTTCAGTGCAATATTTTAGATCAAGATAGGAAGCAACATCAGAAGTCTTGTAGATGAAGCCTACCAGCAAGGCAGCCTAGTGCTGCTGGTTTGTTATGGGATCTATATGTGTCTTTGGAGTTCTGATTGCAAGGCATAACGGAAACACTATAGAATTAAGATAATGTAACCTCAGTATAGAAAGTATGGAACATAAATAATCAGTGAAACTGATAATCGTTCCTTAACCTTATAGGTTTCCAGACAGTCCGTGTCGGGACAGTGGGTACCCCAGTGGGCACCATCACTTTGTCTTGCGCCTACAGAATCAATCTCGCTTTCATGTCAACCAGGTGAGAAAATGTGATCAGGTCAGAAACTATCTTACAATGATGTACTATTAAACCCCTCATATTCTGAGCCCCTAAATATTTCCTTCCTGCTTATCCTTTCTTTAGGAAATTTTCCTTCATGGACAATACTCTCTCTCATGCTTAAGTCTTGCAGCAAGGGGAATATTTGGGTAGCCCTGAGCCAGACTCTAGAACTCCAAATTGTTAATGCATGCTTGGATTTGCAGGGCTGAATTGTAAAGATGCTCTGGTCCCATTAACAGACACAAGGGTTTTCTGTGAGGGCACCATGAATTGGGATGAGAATAGAGGAAAAAATCCAGTAACACCATCACTTGTTGCCTTGCAGACAGTTTGAGAGGACCCCTCCTATCATGGGGATTATCATTGATCACTTTGTGGACCGTCCCTATCCCAGCTCTTCACCCATGCATCCCTGCAATTACAGGTGAGGAAATACTGAGTTGAAGTCATGGGCCATGAGGAGGGCATCAGTTATGCCCACATACAGACCCTTTTCCACTATTTGCTGACTGCATGGGAAGGGAGACTGGAAGATTAGTGTCAATCATATAGACATGGTTGAGCATATGAAGAAGGGTGACATTTTTCTCCTCACGTCTGGAAGACTGAGTGCAGCAAGCCTCAGTATTTTCTCAAATTCCTTACAGAAGCACTTAGACACAAAGGATGTTTAACCTTGGCTGCCTTTGTGAGTTTGAAAGTGTAACAGTTAATCCTGCTGTAGAACTACATGTCCAGAGGCAGCATTTCCAGATATTTCCGTTGGGGAAAGATCAGAGTTTGAGATGAGATGTTTGTCTTCTCTAAAACGCATGTGAGGGCACTCAGATTGGGACCAGTGGTATTGTTTGACAATAGTTCTGTAAACACCAAAGCAAGCAGCATTACCTCTTATAATAAAACTTTTAGTTAAAAAAACAGAGGGAAGTATTTCTATCTGGGGGTAGAAGAGGAGCACCTGGGGAAAATTAAAGTTTTCATACCTTGTTTTCCTCAGTTCTGCCAAGTAGATGAGAGCCCTTCATAATTCTCCTTCCAACTCCACCCAAATACTCTCAACCTCTCTGCAGCGTTTGTCTCAGTCTGTTTGACTATTTGTTTGTTTTAAGGAATATTTCCAGTTAGAAAGCTTTTCTTTTCTTGCTGCTTTAGAGCTGGTGAGGACAATGGTGCAGTATACCCTTCAGTAGAGGATTCCCAAGAAGTGTGTACCACGTCTTTTTCCACCTCTCCTCCATCTCAGGTAAGAGAAATCAGGTTCTTTTTATTCCTATATAGAACAATCACTGTTAGGGTAGTGTGCATACTCCTACATCAACTACTGTGCAAACAAGCAGCCTCCTGCTGCTAATTAAAGTTTCATGAGTGGGTTATTTTATATCGTTACACTCTTGAGTAAAACCTAGTTAGATACTAATTTCAACAAAATGCTAGGGAACTAGAAAGACTGAATTACTGAGAAACATTAAAAGAACCTACTCCTGTAGCGGGGCTGAGATGTGCTTGAAGAAGATAGCAGTGTATTTATACATTCACATGCCAATAGAGCAAGAAGAGGAATTCAAGAGATTGACATTGAGAAAGAATATCAGGAAAATGCTTATCTCAGTCTTATTATCTGCCTTGCAGAATGGAAAAGCAGAAAAAAAGACAAAAGCCGTATTTGTTGGACCATCTAAAACTATTTGGTGCAGCAGGAAAAAAATTGGGTCCTAGTGTTGAACTAGGGACTTACTACTCTCTACTTCCACCTACCCATGCAAATTTCATTTAAGTTTCAATTTTAAAATAAACAGGTAATGGTTTCCTTCTGAATGTCAAACCCAGAAACTTCAGTTCCTCCTCCTTTTACTGTCCTTATATATCTGACTTCACAGTTCTGTGTTTTGAAGACTCGGCCAGATTTCCAGTTGACCTTTAGCTTTAAATATTCAGGAATGTCCTGCCTTGTACAGCCAAGCAAATGGCTCTACTGAACTTTAAAGACAATCTAAAGACTTTAAATCTCTTTTGCTGTTGATTTGAAACATAGAATGAAGTAGAATTGGAATGCTGTTCCAAACTGAAAGAATTTGCTATGAGTCTTTTCACTGCTTCAGAGGAATTAGTATGACTGGTTTAGCAGAATGTGTTCTACTGTATCAATGAGCTAGAAATGAGCTTTTCTTAGGAAGCACTTTTGTGCCAAGAGGATTTTGGGTGACAGGGCATCAGGCAATGTTGAACTAATCAGGCAGCACTCATGGTAAGTCTGATGGAATAAAGCTTTTCGTGTTCTGCGATACGCAGCTCAGGAGATGAGTTTGTGGCTGAGTTGTGTCCTGCCTTTTCACAAAATGGTTTAAATGCAGAAAGTTTCATAAGGAGATTTCCACTGGCTTGCTTGTGCTGGTGTTACTTAACAGTCATAGTGTAGGTAAAAACATTGAAGTTGACATTTCCCCAGGGGACATGAAGCTTTGCTGTCACTGAGGGGAAAAGCTTTATGAAACCAGATGAACCCTGAGGGTTCACATTAAGTATGAACCTACATTCTTGCTTTTCCTGTAGCTTATAGTTACCATATGCTGTGTGCTTATTTATAAAGCAACTGCCAGTCTTTGTTACCACAGTTAGAATTGTACGTCTGTCTTGGCAGAGTGGTCTCTAAAGTAACTTAGAAGGGGGAAAAAAAAAAGCTAATTTCTTTCACCAGCTTTCTGTATACAACGTAATGTATAGGAAAATACTGGGAACTGTGTGGTTCTGTAGGCAAATTGTCCAAATCTCTGCCTGTCTTCCCTGTAGAAATGAGGCCTAACCTGCATGATACAAGGGAATAGATGTTACCTTCTCCCCGTGAGCTCACATACAGTGTCTGTGTGTTGTGGAGTAGCCCTAAATTCAGGAGAAAGTCTGGCCATGGGTAATACCCAGAAATTAAGCTTTCCTAAAACTGAAAACTGTTGGTCGGAAAATGACTGAGAGAAGGTATGGAACTGAACCAGGTTTGGATTGTCCTTTTTGGATTAGTGCCCTCTGTGAGACAGTGTTTACTTTTGAGTTTCATTCCTTTTGACAGAGTTCTTTCTTCACATCAATGTGTTTGAATTGCACTTTAGTCTGGATCCCTTTTATTCTAAGGGTGCAGCACAGACCTGCCAAGATACGATCCCTCTGAATGCTGGAAGATTAGGAGTATGTATGGATGAAGAGTATTGAAACATATGTAATTTGTACATTGGGAAAAAAAATAATCTTTCCGCTCAGCCTTCTGTTTGCTAATTGTCTGGTACCAATTCTACTTAGCTGTGGAACAGTCTCTGGCAGTTCCTTTCTGTCAGTGTTCACTGAAGTCTAAAATACTACCCGTGTTGAGTGGTTCACTGAGACTGGAAAACAGTCAATCTTTTACAAAATGAATGTGCTTCTGGCAATACTGAGACTCCTGCTATATGTGTAGGTATGGCTGCTGCAGCCAAAACCTCTTCACTAGCATTCAGTTCATCCAACTCTTTATAGTTCTTCTCTGAAGTCCTTTTCTCTCTCTTTCTCTCTCCCTTTCTCTCACTCTCTCTCTTTTCCTTATTTCCTCTGTGTGTCTGTGTCTGTGCACAGTGTGTTTTTACTGTCACAAAGGCACATTTTCAGCCCCCTCCTCCTGTGGTGACGGACACCTTGAGGGTCCCAGTGATGGGACTGGCCTTTTCACATCAAGTGAGTTGTCAATAGAATATGCTATACATGGCCAGATACAGTTCTAGCATGACAGAACAAATAGAGGAAAGTACAAATTTGACAATGTGAAACGTTTGTTGTGCATGGGGAAGGCTGGTGAACCCAGAATGGGCCAGGCACGTTATTGAGATGGACTTTGTAGAGGAAAGTCTCACAAAGACAGGACAAGCCCTCCTAAATAAACAACAGCTGTTGCAAGGATTGTTAGTGAAAGGCACAAGTAGTGTAAGGCACAGTGCTGGGCATTTTCTCTTATCAGCCAGTGTCCCTAAAACCTGCACAGTCATTAGTGCTCCATTCAGCTTAATTAGTCTCATGTGAATAAAAGTGCTGTTCATCATTCAGACTCCTGTAAATGATGTCAGCATCGGTGCTGCTGGAGTAACACGCACAGAGCCCCAAAAGAAGTGTTCCTCTTGAGGTCAAGCAAGCTAAAATAGGAATCCAACCAGCTAGATTTCTACCTGGGGTGTGTAGGGATTCTCCTGGGTTTCACTGCTTCCAGCACTTCATTCCTAAAGCAATCTCACAAGGGTTAGCTTTCCAGTTCTCTAATGGGACTCTGTATTCTTTGGCTGAAGCTATTTTAATGTGCAATAGGAACAGGTTCAAACAGTTGATAATGCAGTTGCTTTGGGGAAAAAATATTAATTAGCTCTTTAGTAAGTTGATGATGGCCTTCATGCTTTTTCCAGTATGCAAAACAGGCCTGTAGAGCAGAGCTTCCCTGTGACTGGGTGTTAGTCACACCTTGCACAGCCTCCTCCTATGGGTGTAGGAAACCAGCCTTGTTTTCTTGTGAAGGCCCAGACTTAGTCCCCTGCAATAAGAACTTTTTAGAGTTATAAATAACCTTCGTTATTGATTCCAATGAAAATCTAGCATCCTTCTGCCAGCCTGAAATGCTGTGCTGTGCATCTGACTTTTCCTGTTCCTTTTTCAGTGACTGACAATTATTCAGACTGTGGGGCATTTCCCCTTCCCTTCTCCTCTCCCTTTGCCCTTCTTGTTTTTTTCTCTTCTTTCTCAGCTTTCCAGCTCTCGTCTTTCCTATCAGCCTGCTGCCCTGGGAGTTGGATCAGCTGACATGGGGTATCCTGTACTCTTTGCTGGTGGCTTGAATGCTGCACACCCTCACCAGGTACTTGTAGAGGGTAGAAGAACAAGCGTGGCTGGTATTGCAACCATTATGTGTCACTTGTACATCTGAGAGAAGCCTTAAAACTAGTGCATGCATTGGTATACTGGCTGTCAGGAATGAAAAGAATGTAAAGTAAATACAGAGAAAGCACAACGTGCACAGGAGCTGAGAATTGGCTCCTCAGCATCCCTGACTTTACTGGAGTAGGGGTCATGGAGAAGCTATGCCAAGAGAGCAGGCACCAGAGCTGTTTGCCTGCACCAGCGTGTCACTGATGCCAAACTTTGGCTGTGTCTTACAGAGCTGCTGCCCCTGTAGCTGTCCAAGCACAGCACTGTAGCTTAGACATAGGATCCAATGACAGTCCATATTAACATGTTTGCACCCATTCATCAGACAAATAAGCAAAGCTGACAGAAGTCTTTTTCTGCCTGTCATGTTGCTGCTACACCAGAGTTTTGCTGACACAGTGATGGTAGAATAGACTAGACTATTTCAGTTGGAAGGGACCTGCAACAATCATGTAGTCCAACTGCCTGACCAATTCAGGGCTGACCAAAAGCTAAAACTTGTTATTAAGGGCATTGTCCAAATGCCTCTTGAACACCGACAGGCTTGGAGCATCGACTGCCTCTCTAGGAAGCCTCTCGGTAAAGAAATGCTTCCAAGCCTGCCCTGGCACAGCTTTGAACCACTCCCACATGTCCTATCACTGGATACCAGGGAAAAGAGAACAGCACCTCCCTCTCCACTCCTCCTCCTCCTCAAGAAGCTGTAAAGAGCAATGAGGTCATAGCAAGAGTATATGATTTTATTTTTTTTTCCCCCCTTACTCCCCTTGAAGCAGAGGACCTATGGCCAGAGAGCTTTGCAGTGTAAAATAGGCCTGAAGTGGAGAGGAGTGGAGTAGGAAGGGAATAAAAAAGAGTTTCTGTTGTGGTGATCACCTTCTACTTGACACCTCTCAGCCTCGTGGGGGCTTGAGCCCAGTCATATGCTAAAAACCCCACAACTTAGTCCCAATATGACGAAATCTGCTCTATATTGCAGTGTGGTGTTGGCCTGATTTTGAGATCTCTAACTTGGCTGTTCCTTTCCATCTCAGTTGATTGGTCCAGGCAAAGAGGGGGGAGTTCCCCCGATTCCTAGCCAGCCAGCACATGGCACTCAAGCTGACCAAGAGAGGATGTGCACCCCACTGGATGGAGTCCACTACTCAGCAGCTACTCCTTCTAGTAGGTAGGTTGGTTTTAGATGATCCACCACTTGTGCTAGCTCATTTATAATCCTGTTAAGAAAAAAGTTCTTGTTTTCCCCTTTTTATCTATTGTTTGTAGCATAACTACTGTCTTTCCATCCCCCAAAACAACTGGCACCTTTCTCCGATTGGGGCTTTTTCAGCCTTTCTCCAAACAACGATCTCGCTCATCTACTTACACCTGCTCATCACTGTAACATCCTTGCAACCTCTGTTATGTCGTCTTTAACTTTATTATCAATTTTGTAGTTTTTTTGATATCTCTACTGGTTTTGCTGATTGTAAAACAACAAGAGTTAAGTTCACAAGTGAGTCTTAAATTCTCCAGAGGCTTAATGAGAATTGTTACCAAAACCAGTTGTAGTTACCGCAAATCTGTTCGCTGTAAGAAACTTTAGGCACAAAGTTACTTAAAAGGAAACAATGCAACCTCAAACAGTCCTAAATCACCTCCCTCTCAGCTAATTTAATCCTCTTTTTTTCTTGGTCACCATATTTATTTCTTGTGAAGGCTTTCTTAAGGTCACATAGTTGTGAGTCAAATATCTTGCGTAGAGATTTTGCTACAAGGAAACCAAAAATCATAGTTGCTCTAGCACTTTCCTGGCTATGCTATCTAAGTAGTCCTCTTGCCAGAAGACTCAACCATTTTTTTGCTTCGAAGTTCTGAATACCTATGGTAGGAAAAATAACAGGTCATAGAAATAACTAGTAGCCATTCAATGAATTAATCATACTGGCAGTGGCTGTTGTGACGTATTAGACTGCTGCCTGCCTTTGTAACCTGAGTGACAGATACAATTCTGGTTCTCACCCTCACCTCCTGACAGGTCTGTGACTGCTGTATTACTGAAAAAACACTAGTGATGAACAGGAATTACTGTGAACATGCACATTCTGAAATTAAAAGTCTGTCTCTGAAAAGAAAAGCCTATTTCAGTTGGCAGCAGCTTTTCATTCAACTAAATAATTTTCATCCAGCTTTAAACAAATATTTGATTCCACGAGTGTCCCACTCTCCTTTTGTGCTTATGACTGAGGAAGAAGGTGTGGTACAAGGACAGAGATTTCTGTTGTCCTTCTTCCAGTACTAGGAGTAAACCCAGAAAAATGAAGGAATCTTGTAAAGCATGTGATTTGTCTATATTGTTTGTGCCATGAGTCACTAATTAAGTCTATTTTCCTCTCCTAGTGAGGACACAGAAACAGTATCAAACAGCAGCGAAGGGAAGTGTGGCTCCCCTCATGACCTTTTGGAGACCATCTTTATCCGGAAGGTGGGAGCTTTTGTCAACAAACCCATTAATCAGGTAACTAGCAGTAGATATTCTCAGAGGGCACCATAATACCTTGCTTCTCCCATCTGTTCCTACACAGAGGAGCAAAAAGCACCCCAATGCCAGGGCAACCCTGGAGACTGAAAGTGCATGTTCCTGCCTGCTGCGTTTCCCT